TGGCAAGCTCCCTGGCAACCTACCACCATCCTTGCTCTATATCAGAAGAAACTTCCTGTACTCCCTGCAGGCCTCCCTCACTATATGAACATCTTATAGGCGGTCCCACCTTCAAGCTGCTGTCATGTGATCCTTGGTCACATGACTCAGGTACAGGCCACAGCTTGATAGCTTAAGCCCTTACAGGCACAGCTCACACTGTGACAGGATCCAAATGAGGGGATCCCAACATAGATCTGCACACCTCCTGTCATCCTCCATATTTCTTACCCAAAGATCATTCCTTTGGTGGGGAGGAGACCAGACAGCCCATTTTCCTCTTCCAGGAGGTTGGGGTAATAAGTATCTGTTTTGGCCAAGAGGGAGTTACCGGAAATGGAGAGTCACAGGCGAGGCTGGGATAAATTTGGGAAAGGATCTGAACTTTGAAATGCTAGCTGAACTAAGTCGCTGAGCCTTTAGATGGTCACCTGTAAGTCCTGCAATGTTTTTGAGAAAGCAGCTCAGGAGAGGGACGTCAGTTAATTTTTCTTATGTGATTTTTCCCTGCCTTTTTTTCATTATGGTTTATATTGCTCTAAAAGGCACAGTAATCCACACATAACTAGCTAGAATGAATTATTTCTGTGTAGGTAGCTGTGTGTGCTTCTCTGTTTTCCAAATTCTATCCACTTAGGGCTCAATTCAGCAAAGCACTTAAGCACATACTTAAAGTTAATCACTTGCTTAAGTCCTTGCTGAATCAGGGCCTAAGTGGACTTCTATTCTTGCGTGTTCTTACATCTGAAGCTCAAGCCATAGTGAACAGTGATTCCTGGTGAAGAATCCTAGAAATTAGAAATGTGCAAAGTTTGCTATATTATGTCATCCAGTCCATTTCCCTGCCAATGACAGATGTGTCAAAAACAAGCTTTCTCTGGTCATGCTAGCAGCTAGTCTCAGCTGGAGTGTATCCATTGCATATCTTACCTCTCTACCTCTAAAAACTGTTTTAATGTTCTGTATCATTTTAAATGTTCAGTTTTCCACTGTTTCACGGTATGTCTACACTAGAGCTGGAAAATGTAAATTCCAGCATAAGTAGATATACCTGCACTAGCTGCACTAAAACCAGAAGTGTAGCTTCAGTGATGTGAGCGGCAGGATAGTCTATCCACCTCAAATATGTACCTATGGTCTTGAACGGAACCATACTCGGGATGGCTGGCCCCTTCCGCTGCTCATGCTGCCACAGCTACCTTCTATTTTTAGCACACTAGCTCAGACCTAGTGTGGGTATATTTGCTTGAGCAGGATTTTATACCTTCCAACACTAGTGTAGCCATGCCCTCAGAATCTTTCCAGATCCTCGATACCCCATTTTGGGAAAGGATTATTACTATGTTGTATTCTTCTCAGTATCGCCTACTATTCCATATGGCATGTAGTGAGAGCTACCCGGTTGATATGTGTAATGCTAATGAGCCATAGATTAGCCTCAAAGAAGCAATGAAACACAACACATTTTAACTCTTCTTGTCTGAGTGTTGAATGAAGGGCAGTGTTTGTTAGTGTCAACCCTTTGCCTCCCCCTGCTTTTTTGAGTGAGTGAGAGAGCGAGCAAGCAGCATGAAGTAAAATCCTGCATCAGTGGCTGGTGGTCATGCTAAAGCAGCATGAAGGCATCTTCTAAGAATCTGATCCTTTTGATTGTCAGAAGAGAGAGAGTGGCAATGTATTCTAGACCTGTTGGAGCATGCATCCCCTTGAGAGCTCTGAGTCATCAGGGAAGGAATGAGTCCACTGAGCATGCCAAGGAATCGGAACCTTATGAATGACAAACCAATCAAATTCCAAACGTGCTCAGTGTGAAGTCAACATGAATAATTTATTGTAAGCCCTGTGTGTGCTGAGATAAAGCTACAGCAGACATATCTCGAATGTGCACATTGTCTTACAAGATGAATGAGGAGAGGATTGCAGATTAATGAGCTTTCTAATACTCTTGAAAATCCAGATGATTTTACTCAATTTATAAGCATGAAACTGGATGCTTGAAGACATTTGTGTTGTCCTCCTCCCACCCCACATTGTCATTAAACTAACACAAAATGTAGAAATATTGGGTCCGGTTTTCCCCTGCAGGAAAAGCTGCAGGTCAAAGGAGATTAAATCCTGTGAGGGAAAACTTCCCTGCTATCGTCTTGGGATACCCCTCTGACCTTGCAAACAGTGTGCATGAAGTGCAAGGCCTTCTGTGTGGAGGCTCTGTGCTGCCACAGTAGATATAGCTCCTGCAGCTCTAACCCTATTTCTTGGCAGTGTGGTGCCAACGTACCCCCACTGGGGAGGAGGGGGTTACAGAAAAATAACACATCCCCTGAAAAATCCCTGACAAACTCCTGTTTAAGACTCAGATACTTCTCCACTTCTGTCCTGGGTCAGCAAGTAAAAATGCTGGTCACCTTAAGTAAGGGTGAGGATGGTTTGGAAAAAAAGTGCTATCCCCACAGGCAGACCCTATTAATTTAGAAGAACAATTAATAATGATAAACTTGTCTGCTAAAACTTAGTGGGCACTAAAGCTGGGGAAGTTATTTTCAAAATCAATTCAAATATTTAATTTATCCCTTTTTCCCATTTTGAAACTTGCGTCTAAACAGATCTCAGTTTTCCCATATTGATTTGTTTGTTCAAGATTATTCAATGAATGTTTTAGATGAACATATTTCAGCCTGTGGTCAGTGCTTAATTTGTGCTGGGGCTTGCTGAGGTTGACCCCCGCCAACTCTTGGGTTGGCAGTTCATAGTCCCAGCACCTCGGGGCTCCTGGCCAGCAGCTGCCGCTTTCTGGCCGCCCAGCTCTGAAGGCAGTGCCGTTGCCAGCAGCAGCACAAAAGCAAGGATGGCAGTATCATATCATGCCACCCTTACTTCTGCACTGCTGCTGTCCGTGGTACTGCCTTCAGAGCTTGGCGCCTGGCCAGCCGCCACCAGTCTCTGCCCACCCAACTTGGCACCTCCTTTGTTACAAATTAAACACTGCCTGTGTTTTGTTCATGAACTAGTCACTGCAAGTATTGCTTTGAGTATTTGAGGTTCACCATTTGAGCTGATCACATGGTATTGTTACTGTAGCCTAATTGGATGAGTGTAGTTCTTAGGGTATGCCTATCCTGGAGCTGGAAGGTATAAATTCCAGCTCGAGCTGACATATCTATGTTAGCTCTGATCAAGCTAGCACACTACAGATAGAAGCATAGCCACGGAAGTGCGAGAGGCGGTATGGGCTTGTCGCTGGAAGTCCGAGCCCATCTGAGACCAAAGGTACATAGCTGGGTGGCTCGCCCATCCTGCTGCTCTCGCTGCTGCAGCTACACCTTTATTTATAGTGGGCTAGCTCTGTCAGAGCTAATATAGGTGTGTCTGCTCCAGCTGGAAATGATACCTTCCAGATCCATTGTAGAATCAAGCTTTCAGTGCAAACATGCACGATTTAAGAATTTAAAATTTATATTCTGTGAATATTCTTCTATGTTCACTTAAAATTTCCTGTTCTGGCAAGCAGTCCAAATGGTAAACTCGCTCACTAGAATACTCACAGAAAGAGAACACGCAAGACACACAAACACAGGCAGAGTAAATGTGTTTAAAAATTTGATCCAGTGTTTGTGAATAATGGTTTGTAGTACTTACCTACCTTTAGAGAAGACACAAAAGTGACTCCAGTTTCAGAACTGAGGAGCCGAGGATGAAAGTTGCTATTTTTTTCTGTTCTGAATGGGAATTTGAAGTAATTTTCTCACACTCTCAACTACTTCAATAGGAATATCTGAAACCCTTCTGACCAGAGATGACATCAGAGAAATCTCAATAACATTTGTTTGGGTTGTGGAGCTATTTAGCTGATTTTTGATTGGAGGAGAAGAGGCAGATAAATTTCCAAACTCTGGGCTTCACCCAACAGTCACTGAAACAAATGGAAGGACTCCCGTTGTCTTTGGATGGTGTTCGATCAGGCCCTCTGCCCCTGTCTAGCAAAGACTTATCCAGTACTTAACTTTAAGTATACAAATAGTTCCATAAATAGGATTATTCACATGCTTAAAGCTAAAGCCTTTGCAGGATTGGGGCCCATGTCTTTTACAGACAGGAAGTAATAGTGCAGATGCTAAGGTGTTAAGTGCTCTTGAGAAAGCAAAACATGTTTTGCAAAGCAAATTTCTTATCTGTATTTTCTCTGTAGCATTTTTGTTTGGAGTTGGTTTTGATTTAGAATGTTACCCCCAATCATCTATAATTCTCCTCCTTCCCTTGGTGACTGTGTGTATCTTTGAATGAGTGCATTGCAGATAAACCCGGCCTTCTTTACCTGCTTGGCCTCTGTTTGTTTTCACCTGCTGAAGTGAGATTATTAAATGCGAGAACTGGCTTTGCTGTCAGCTCTCAAACCGTGCGCTTTGAGTAGTGTGATTTGATAAAGTGTGCAGTACCTCAAGATGTTGCAGTTGAAACAAATAAATGAAGTGGTTTGTTTTGATAGCTCCCTATGTGATATATGAGTCTGTGGTAAATAGCAATGAAAGTTTTTTATTTTTCTGGGGTTCTGTTGCCAAAGCTTTCTGTCCTGGTCTCTGCAATCCTAATGTTTACTTGTCCTGAGTGTAGAGTGTCAGTCAATTCCCACATATAGATTAAGCTTTCTGAAAAGCCAGGCAATGAAAGCTTAGAGAGTTGCCAAGAGTTTACTGAGCTTTGTTACGATTTGCAGAGTCATGTACTGTAAATAAGAAGATGCTGCTCTACCAAATTCTGGTTATTCATAATCTGAATACACTTTGGCTCAAAAATGTCATATTTGGCTTCTTAGTAACCGTTAATTCTGAAGTCTCCTTATTTGTGTGGGAGGGGCGGGGGGGGGAGTTGTAAGTGAAATCTCTCTTTGGCTGATTATAATGTAATGGATAAGCAGGCACTGCTTGTTCTCTGTCTCATTTGATTTTACCTTTTGTGTACTGCAGGATTGAGAGACAAATCAGCAGGTTTCGAGGATGGTTACCTAGAAAACCTATGAGACTGGACAAGGAGACACTGCCAGACCTGGAGGAGAATGACTGCTATACTGCCCCTTTCAGTCAGCAAAGGATCCATCAGTGAGTATTTTATGATTTAGTTTAAATGCAAGGCAAAACTATACTACCAGATTAATCCTGACAAAGCCAAAGCTCAGTATATATATTTAAGAATATATCCGTGTAGTTTCTTGCCATATCATGAGGGTCCACGCAGACCACTGAAATAGCTAGAAGTCTGTCTACGTTTTGGAGGGCTTGTCTAAACGAACACTTAGTTTGAGGCAAGCTGGGGTGTAAATCTACCCTGCATTAATGTCCTGTGCACTGCATGTCTCTGTGGTCCCTCCTGTTGTTCACTAAGGGTATGTCTGCACTGCAGTTAGACACCCGCAGCTAGCTTGTGCCAGCTGACTTGGGCTCGCAGGACTTGTGCTGCAGGGCTGTTTAATTGCAGTGTAGACTCTTGGGCTTGGCTGGAATCTGGGCTCTAGGACCCTGTGAGGTGAGAAGGTCCCAGAACTCGGGCTGCAGCCCTAGCTGGAATGTCTACACCGCAATTAAACAGCCCCACAGTCCGGGAACTTGTCATGTGTGGCAGCAGGGTCTACATGAACACTGCAAGCTAGTGCAGGGTAGATTTGTACCCCAGTTTGCTGCAAACTAAGTGTTCATGTAGACAAGCCCTGAGTGTTAACATCCAATCCAAACTCCATGGAAATCAATGGAAATATTCCCTTTGATTTCTGTGGGCTTTCAATCAGGCCCCTATGTAAGTAACTGACTACAGTTCCCATAATAACATCTAGGGCCAGATTTATAAAGGTATTTAGGTGCCTAAAGATGCAGGTAGATGCCTGGTAGGATTTACAAAAGCACCCAACTCCCATTGAAAGTCACTAGGAATTAGGCACAGACTTATTTTCTATACCTATTCAGAGAGTACCAAAAATATATCTGTTAGAGACTATAGTAACTCAGCCTGCGTAGAAAACACAACAACCCTTTTCTTCTGTTTACTTAATGCCAAACGAAGGGTAAAGTGCAGCTGTGCTCTGAAAAGACCATGTAGATTATGGCACCTTCTTACACAGCAGATCTATGCCCTGTACATACTCAAAGTCAGATCTGCTTACATCAGTGACCAAAATACATTTGTATTGCTTTTTATTCCTGTTAGCACTGCAGAGCAAACACAGCTCTGGAAGAGAGCTGAGTTTTCTTTCTTTGTTTGTTTTCACTGTGCACCATCAAAAGAACTGTTTGCTAAATTCCAGCTTCAGGGCCAGTCAGTTCTACCTGTGCACATGTTTGAAAAGCCATAGTATTGCACAGATGTCTCTCGGGGCATAGGTTGGCCTGTAGACTGATGTATAAGAAGGAAAGAAGATTTTTTTAATGTTGTTACTGATATAATACTGAGGCAGCCTGCACTCCTTTCCCCTGTGCATGCTGTGACCTGACATGATTCTTGCACTCCCCCATTTCCTATCCTCTTTGTTGTTCCAGTTGATTCCACCTCATTAGGCACCTTCTGAAACTGAATGAGTTGCTATTAAATATTCTGTTAGTGAAATGTGTGTTGGCTTTTTAATTGTTCTGGGAATTTCATCCCATCTAGGTGAACAGGGGTTTTTTTAGGTGCTTTTAAATAATTTTCTCATTGGCTGTAGAAAACAAGTGTTGACCAATTGGAAGTGTAAAGCTGAAAGGAAGTACTTTAGTAGCGTAAATGAAAAACCAAGGAATTGTGTATACAATTGAGTAAGAGATGCCCTCAGATTAAAAATCACTTCGTGTAATAGTAGAAAGTGTTTCTCACAATATGCTGTATTTGGAGATTTTCCTGGATTTAGGTCTAGTCTACCTGGGGAAATGTATTGGAATAATTATGCCAGAATAAGTGTCCACATGGGGAGTTATAACTAGAGGTGTAACTAGAGGGCTATAATTATACTGGTATAATTATGCCAGAAAAATTTCCCCAGGTAGATAAACCCTTACTTAGCTCACACATATATAGCTGTGCACTGGCCAATACTTCCAGCCCATGATCTAGCAGTGCACTTTCCTGTGTTTGCATTGGCGACATGTTGTTTGGCAATGCGTTGGAGCCTCTCACAGCACTGACCGGCTGCACTGGAGGCTGGAGATGTGTGAAAGTGTGGAGGTGAAATTGATACACTGGATAAAGAGAAGAATGTGTCAGATTCCAGGCTGTTTTGAAACCTCACCTTTCTACCTTAAGGACCATTCACTGATATTGTACCTACGGGGTTGCACTCCTTACTGAGAGCTGTCCCAGCACTAGCTGGCTTACAGGCTAGGAAGTATTTTGTTTAGCATAGTGCTAAGGCTTCTCTGGGTATCATTATGGTAACACCTAAGATTTGTCGGGAACCATAAGGGCAAAGAAGACAGTCCCAGCTCCAGAGAACTTACTAGGTTCTAGGTGTCAGTCTAGGGTTGCCAGGTGTCCAGTTTTCAACCGGAATGCCTGGTCGAAAAGGGATCCTGGCGGCTCAGGTCAGCACCACTGACCAGACCATTAACAATCCGGTCAGCGGCGTAGCGGTGATAAGGCAGGCTCCCTGCTTGCCCTGATTCTGAGCAGCTCCTGGAAGCAGCAGCATGTCCTCCCTCTGTCTCCTACACACAGGGGCAGCCAGGGAGCTCTGCACGCTGCCCCCGCCCCAAGCACCGTCTTTGCAGCTCCCATTGGCTAGGAACCGCGGCCAATGGGAGCTGCAGGGGTGGCGCCTGCGGACAGGGCAGTGCACAGAGCCACCTGGCTGCGCCTATGCATAGGAGCTGGAGGTAAGCTGCTTGAGGTAAGCACCGCCTGGACCCTGCACCCCTGAACCCTTCCCACACCCCAACCCTCTGCCCCAGTCCTGATCCCCCTCCCGCCATCCAAACCCCTTGATCCTGGCCCCGAGCACCCTCCAAACCCCTCATCCCCAGCCCCACCCCAGAACCCGCACCCCCAGCCGGAGCCCTCACCCCCCCCGATGTCACAACCCCTTGCCCCAACGCTGATCCCCCTCCCATCCTCTGAACCCCTCATTCCCAGCCCAGAACACCTGCACCCTCAGGCAGAGCCCTCAGCCTCCCACATGCCCCAACCCTCTGCCCCAGCCCTGATCCCCCTTCTGCCCTCTGAACCCCTCGGTCCCAGCCTGGAACCCCCTCCCACACCCTGAACCCCTCATTTCTGGCCCCACCCTGGAACCCACACCCCAATCCCCTGCCTCAGCCCAGACCCCCTTCTATAGTCTGAACCCCTCGGCTCCACCCCGGAGCCCCCTCCTGTACCCCAGTCTCTCATCCCTGGCTCCACCCTGCAATCCCAGCCAGAGCCCTCACCCCCTCTTGCATTCCAAACCACTGCCTCAGCCTGGAGCCTCCTCCCTTACCCTGAACTCCTCATTGCTGGCCTGACTCCGGAGTCCTCACCCCCTCCCACACCCCAACCCCCTGAGTTGGCCCAGTGAAAATGAGAGAGTGAGTGAGGGTGGGGAGAGTGAGCAATAGAGGGAGGGGGGATGGAGTGAGCAGGGGGTGGAGTCTCAGAGAAGGGGCGGGGCAAGGTTGTTCATTTTTGTGCATGCACAAAGTTGGCAACCCTGTGTCAGTTGGAATGCAAGCATGCACAGAAGAACAAAACAGACAAATGGGCTGGGAGTGGGAGGTAACAATAAAACAGAGTTTAGCAAAAAAGTGGAAGTCTTAGCTCACCACTTGCCTAACTAAGACTTCTGCTGTTCCGCTAAACCCTGTTTTATTGCTGTGTCATCCTCCCAACCCATCCCAGCCTATTGCTCTATTTCATTTACCTGCTAAGTCTTGTGTGGCACCTAAACTGTACATTTTCTGGGGCAGGGAGCTCATTGGTGATGCCCAAGAGATAAAAATATTACTTTGTTTACTTTTGGCTGGGATTTACTTATCTGCCAAGACCTGAGTTCCAGAATCTGTGATGTCAATGCTAAAGCTGATGACATAATTAACATCTAAAGCGGTGTAAACAGTGAAGCTAATGTACTAGTACAGGGATCGGCAATCTTTGGCTCGCGGCCCACCAGGGAAAGCCGCTGGTGGGCCAGGACGGTTTGTTTAGCTGCAGCGTCTGCAGGTTCGGCCGGTCGCAGCTCCCACTGGCCGCGGTTCACGGTTGCAGGCCAATGGGGGCTGTGGGTAAGGCGGCCAGCACATCCCTCAGCCCGCACCGCTTCCTGCAGCCCCCATTGGCTTGGGACGCTGAACCACAGCCAGTGGGAGCTGTGATCAGCCAAACCTGCAGATGCTGCAGGTAAACAAACCGTCCCGGCCAGCCAGCGGCTTTCCCTGGTGGGCTGCGTGCTGAAGGTTGCCAATCCCTGTCCTAGTAGCTCTTGACATTGAGGTCATTGGCGTCATCAGCTGCTGCAGGAGAGACATGGAACCCTGAACTCATATCTTCAGTTAAAAAGATGTACAGTTTCCTTGTAAAATGCATTAGTTTATATTTTTTTAGTGGACACGTTCTGTATTTAGAATATCTAGCATTTTTTAAAGAAGCATTTCAGTTCACTTTTAAACTATGTAGATCATTACCCACCTTTCACAGGAAACTCAATCCAAAAGTTACACAATTTCAAATTTGAGCACTAGAACTACAATTGTTGGTGTACTTTACCCATAAACCACTTCCTTAGTTTTAGTTTGCTTGAGTCAAATGACTCCTTAAATTAATTATGTAGTATACTGGAGCAATTTATCCAGGGGCCAGGTGGATTCTCCATCACTGACCATTTTTAAATTGAGATCGGATGTTTTTCTAAAAGCTGTGTTCTAGAAAGTATTTGGAGGAAGTTCTATGGACTGTGTTATAGAGGAGGTCAGACTAGACTATCATAATGGTCCCGTCTGGCCCTGGAATCTATGAATCCATGAATATTTACTGTTTAGCTGAGAAGGGAGGAGCAAAATAGATATGGGGAGTTGAGGGGCAAAATTAATTGCTGGTCAGGGGGACTGGCAGATTTGGGTATGTCATAAATATAAAGGGAAGGGTAAACACCTTTAAATCCCGCCTGGAC